CATATATCAACTTACTTAATTCTCACAATTATGTTATGAAGTTGAGATTACTACCATCTCGCCTTTGCCGACGAGGAAACTGAAACCTAACTGAACTTAATGAACTGCCCAATTCAGATGCCTAATAAGTGGTAAAGGTGAGACTCAGCCCAAAGTGTCTTACTCCTTGGTCTGCCTTTGTAACCATGATGCTGCTACAGACACTCAAATATTCTTAATACCATCAGCACTCACATTTCTGAGAAAGCATAAGCACACAGACAAACCACAGCCATAGTAAGTTAGCCCTTGTAGTTATGTGTGGCCATTTCTATTACTAGCACAGACCAGGTACAAATGTGGGGTGAGATTTACCCCATTGGTAGGAGTTCATCCATAAATCCTGATAGGCTTGCCTCTTCCCTAATTCCCCTCACCTCCATTTGTCTCCATGATCCAACCCATAATCAGCTATTGAACACTGACCCATGGTGGGGGCCATGACTGCAGCCTCACTTTCATGAACCCAAACTGGAATTTGAAGCCCCAAATGCAAGCCATCTGGAAAGTGCCAGGGAAGGTCACAATTACAATGGAAGACAGGAAGAAGGAGGGGGAGGAGGAGGGAAGACAAGGGGCATTAAAGCTTTCAAAATACTATAGCTGCTTCGCGAGCTGGGACCACATCCCTTTAGTTAGTGATGTTGGAAGACAGGCGTCTGTAGATGTAGCCACTGAACCATGGATGGCTCTATCAGTAAGAGCTATCATTTACATCACATTGACATTTTACCACAAGGCAAACTTCAGGTTTTCCGAAAGAAAGTGTCCTGAAACATTTGTCCAAATTTCAAATTATAGGCCAAATTAGACAGGCTAACTGAATCCATGTCCTTTATTACTGTGATTCTGAGATTCTATTACAAGGCTCTGCCTTTCCTGTGCCCAAGGATAGATGTGGGCATGGCTTTTACTTCTGGGCTGCACTGCAGCTGAGTCCCTCAGAGGGCTCCAGACAGGGCTGGCCAGCCAATGCCCTTGCATCATCCGGAGTATCAGATGTTGGAGGCATTACATACAAGCCTACTGAATTTGCATCTTTTCAGACATTACTCACTAACTTATATAAAAGTATGTTTTTTTTCTATTCAAGGCTGAACCATTCAATATTAGCAGTTCCTAACACAGTAAAAGAGCAGAGTTCAGGATAAATTTATTTTGTACACAAAGATGAGGCAGAGGTCATTTGAAACCTGGTTAAGCAATGAGCCCTGGAAAGACTACTTTTTAGATCAGAGATCAAGCTGGTACAATAGGGCCTTGGCTGCTGCAGTGGTTCTCAGGCTGTACTGAGTATCAGAATTGCCTGGAGGGCTGTTTAAAACACACAAAGCTGGGAACCCATGCCCCTTCAGGAGAGTATGGCCCTGAGAATAAGCATTTTAAAAAAACAGAGGTACTGGGGATTGAATCCAGGACCTCATGCATGCTAAGCACACATTCTACCATGAGCTACACCCCCAACCCCTTTAACATTTTTAATAAGTTCCTAGGGGATGCTGACACTGCTGGTTTGGGGACTACAACCGGGCATCTCTTGATGTGACCGAGTTTATTTTACCACACACAAGAATTTTATTAACAATCTAATACTATTCTTTTGAGTTGTTCATGTTTCATTTTGCATCCAAAGCAGGATAAAAACCAATGGCACCACTCAATGCAGTCAGGTAGGAGTTCTTCACTACTCACAGAAGAGTCAGGCTTTTTGTTCTAGTCAGGCCTTCAACTGATTGGATGAGGCCCACCCACACTAGGGAGGGAGGTCTGCTTTATTCAGTCTACCAATTCATATGTTAATCTTATGCAGAACTCCTTCCCTACAACAGACACACCCAGAGTAATATTTGACCAAATATCTGGGTACCCAGGGGTCCAGTCAGGTTGACACATAAAACTAACAATTACATGGGGCTCTTAAAAGTCTACCTACAGAATTATGGCACAGGGTACGTGTTTTATTTGGTAAAGAATGGGGGACTTCTACATTTGAGAGTTATATTCCCATTCAATGATTTATATGGTAAAATGTCATCATGTAAGTTATAATTTAATATTTGCATTCTGCCTATCTAAACCATAACTATCTGAAAACTTGCAACACTAAATTAAACAGTACTGAAAAACAAACAAACAAACAAAACAAAAACCCAAATCCCAAAACTAAAACTTAACTGTGGAAGCAATACCACAGGACCATCATTTACATCCTCACTTTTGCCTAGGAATGCCTTTCGCACATTCATTACTCCACAGATTATTATTATCAGTTATTAAAATGTATAAAATGACTCTATGTATTTGTTAATGAGGGTAAGTGGCTTTCAGTCTTTGATGTAATTATGTGTTAAGTATACAATGAACAGCTGCTATCATATAGGGCTAAATGAAAAATCAATTTTTAAAAATTTTATTTCCCACACCAAAAAGCTCTCTTGAATGAATTTTGCCAAGAATTAAGTAGATAAAAAGATATGTATATATTTTTAATTTTTAAAAATTTTTTGTTTTTTGCAGGGAAGGAGGTAATTAAGTTTGTTTGTTTATTTGTTTTTGTTGTTTGTTTATTTATTTATTTATTTATTTATTTATTTATTTATTTAATGGAGGTATTGGGGATTGAATCCAGGACCTTGTGCATATTAAGCCTGCACTCTACCACTGAGTGCAGGCTTAATATGCACCTCCCACCCCTATATTCTTTTAAAATCATCTATTTGGGGCTGTTGATAAGCTAAGAGGCAGCAAGTAACTCTCTTATTTTAGCATTTTTTAAGGGAAGGATAGAACTTTTCAAACTTGGAACCATCTAGTTAAACACAATTTCAAGGTCTCAGTATAGTTACCGAGTTGTTAGCCTTTTTCATTCCAATCCAATTAAATAAACTGGATGAAAAACTCATTATGAAAATTGCACAGAAGGTCACAGAAGAAAATAAGTGGTTCAATAAAACTGTTACCAGTATTATTACTGCTTTGTATAAAGTCAAATTTGCCACGGTGGTGATTAGAAAATATTGTGGATTTTTTCTGACATATTGTTTACTGATTTTTTGGAGAATATCCATCACTCTACAGAAGAATGCTCCATCTCCAAAATAAAACAAACTATTTAGCAAACAACAGTCTAATGTTAACCAGAATCACCATTACTGAGCATTCAAGTGTGAGCAAATGAAGAAATGAAAACTGTAAAATTTCTATGTCATTCTGCTGAAGCCAAGTCATGGTTAAGATTATTTTAAACTTGCTTAATATGTTCAAAAGTATAATGTACGATGGTTCAAACTGATTATGTCCTGTTTTGATGGATAATGTTTAAACAAAAAGGTGGTTAATGGATATGTTTTTGTTTTCTCAAAAGAATGCTCTTTGTTAATAAACTTCTGTATTTGTATATAGCAAAATGGACTCTGTTGTATCAGGAGATGCCCATGGTCAGCTCTGCAGCAGAAACAACTTTTGCTTTTCCTGCCAACACACAGGTTCTTATGGGTGCACCCAGGGTTGTGGGCCATTCCTGACATTTCTTAGCAGCTTTCTTTTCCAGGCAAAAAGAGTTTAGAAGAAAGCACTGAGAATGAAGGTATTGTACAAATAATCTAACTTTGAATTGCCTCTGCTTTATACACAATGCAAATCATTTGCAAAGTCTGGATATTTTAACTATTAGTTAAAAACAACTTGCCACAATGCTTGCAAATGTCAAAACTGCTGCTCCAGGGAGGGCTACACCCCCACGTACCCTCACAAAGGAACAACTGACAAACAAATCAAGTCTAGGAATAAATTTACATACTAGTGAGCTTAGAGAAGCAGGAAGAGAGAGCAAGATGATGTGAACAATAGAAGGGTATTATACCATGCCAGGTACTAGCAACTGCAAACTGCTCTCAGGTGATGTGACCCACGATGAAAGGGACTATAATTAATCATGACCATGTTCCCCCAAGTCACAAATTCAGAACCATAGCCTGTGCTCCATAAATCCTTACAATTTTACTATACATAAAATGCCACTATAAAGCGTTTGTGTGTGTTGCTTTGCTTAGGTGGTAGTTCTAAGCACAACTTTGTTTAAAAAAAACCATGGGGTTCGTTTTCCTTATTTTTGAATAAACTGGCCTGTGCTGTGCATTTTCTTTTTTTGATAAAGGGTTCTGCTTGTAAAAATCAAACAAAGTCAATAACCTATAATGAAAAAGAATATGAAAATGAATATATGTATGTATACTTATGACCGAAACATTATGCTGTACACCAGAAAGTGACACATTGTAATCTGACAGTTTTTTAATCTGTTCAGTTTTTCAAAAAAGTAGCTCAACAGCAGATGGGCCCATTTACTTATTTCTAAAACCTCTACTGAATATTTTAGAATATTATCCGATGATTTCACTTGTGCCATCCATTAGCTTGGTCTGCAGACCGTGATACAGGGAAATTCACTGTATTCCAGTGAATGTCTCTTTGAGCTCTATGCTAGGCACTTACACTCTAAAGATGAGGAATTTATGATCTCCGCTTTGATTAAACAGCTAAATTCAGGGAAAGTGCCAGACATCTGCTGCTACCTTTATTTCTAAATCATCTGGAGCTAAGATTGTAGGAGCACTTGGAAGGAAGAGGGTTTTACCTAGGGAGCAGGTGATCCCAGCTTGTCCCCCCATCCTACTCCCCCATGTGTTAGGTTGTCTGGGGAGGCAGAGGGGAGATGGCAGGTGGGGGCGGTTCATGTGGATTATTAGGGCTGGTAGAGGGAAGTTTGGGTGAGAACAAATTACTGATTTGGGACATCTGTATGAGCCTACATAGTCAGGGTGTTTATTGAATCTCAGTAAAATCTAAGTATAGTGAAAATAAGGACCCCTATTTGTGTTAGGATTCAAGGCCTAAATGAATAATAAGTAACATATTTAAAAAGAAAACATAAAACTTCTCTTTCTTTTTCTATTTTAAAGGACAACAGAGAAGAACGAGATGGAAACCATGCTATTTTGGTTGATATTTTTCACCCTTGGGTGGACCGTCATTGATGGATCAGAAACGGAAAAGGATTTTATGTGGCACTTGAGAAAAATACCCCGGGTTGTCAGTGAGAGGACTTTCCGTCTCACCAGCCCCAACTTTGAGGCAGATGCTAGGATGGTGTTAAACAGAGTGTGTGGCATTGAATGCCAGAAAGAACTCCCCGCTCCCAGCCTTTCTGACCTGGAAGACTCTCTTTCATATGAGACTGTCTTTGAGAACGGCACCCGAACCTTGACCAGAGTCAAAGTTCAAGGCTGGGTCCTGGAGCCAACTCAAAATCTCACCACACAAGGAGCACCTGTTCGGAGGAAGAGACAGGTGTACGGCACCGACAGCAGATTCAGCATCTTAGACAAAAGATTCTTGACCAACTTCCCTTTCAATACTGCCGTGAAGCTCTCCACGGGCTGCAGCGGCATCCTCATCTCCCCCAATCACGTCCTAACAGCTGCCCACTGCGTCCATGACGGACAGGACTACATCAAAGGAAGTAAAAGGCTAAGGGTAGGGTTGTTGAAGATGAGAAAGAAAGGTGGTGGCAAGAAACGTCGGGGTTCCAGGAGGAGCAGGAGGGACGCGAGTGGTGGTGATGAAAGCGAGGTGACCAAAGAGAACCTGAAGGAGCGAGCCAACGCCAGAAGGAGGAGGAAGGAATCTGCTCGGGGTCAGCGAGGTGCTGATGGGAAGCCCTCCTTCCAGTGGACCCGAGTCAAGAACACCCACATTCCCAAAGGCTGGGCCAGAGGCGGGCAGGGAGACGCTGCCTTGGACTACGACTACGCCCTTCTGGAGCTGAAGCGCCCTCACAGAAAGAAATACATGGAGCTGGGAATCAGCCCTACCATCAAGAAGCTGCCCGGCGGGATGATCCACTTCTCAGGCTTTGATCACGACCGGCCAGATCAGTTAGTCTACCGGTTTTGCAGTGTGTCTGATGAATCCAACGATCTCCTCTATCAATACTGCGACGCCGAGTCAGGCTCCACTGGCTCCGGGGTCTATCTGCGTCTGAAAGAGCCAGACAAAAAGAGCTGGAAGCGCAAAATCATTGCGGTCTATTCAGGCCACCAGTGGGTGGACGTGCACGGCGTTCAGAAGGACTACAACGTGGCAGTGCGCATCACACCCCTCAAGTACGCCCAGATCTGCCTCTGGATGCACGGAGATGACGCCAACTGTACTTCTGGCTAACGGAAACCCTGAAGCAAAGCCGTGGATTACTCAACAGCCAAGAAAACCAATTCTGATGCTTGTCGCAAGATCACGCCATAGGTTATGCCTTGACTTGAACCCTATCAATAGCATTTCAACCTTTCTACATTTACTTTTTCAAAATTAGGAGCTTTTCATCCATTTAAAAAAAAAGTTTAGGTAGACATATGAAAACTAGATGGGTACTTCAATGCCAAGTATATATTCTTTACATGGTGATAAGTTTCACTTGTGGGAAATATATTGTTTCTTTCTGCCTTCTTAAAGATTAGACACTCTTTAAAAGTCAAGCTGGTGTTATAAATAATATGTGATTTCTCAGTGGACTAGTTCTCAGGGTCCTGCTCTTCAGAAGAGACTAAGGTGCTGGTTGCATATTAAATGTGAAGTTACATACACAGAGGTGGAAAGTAACATGATTAGAATCGGGTTAGAGACACTAATTTACAAACACAGTTTGTGCTATTCTGAGATGGACCCATTCAGCTCATGACCTCTATGTTTATATTGTGTTTTCCACTGGGTGTCTGAGAAATTTTAGGTTTTCTTTCTTTTTTTTTTATTTTAAGAATTACAAGAGACAGCAAGCTTTAGAGACAAACTATTAACTATTTCACTGCTTTAAAAATACCAACGAAAGTGTTATTATTTATGGGAGAAACACTTTGCTCTATGAAATAAATTTAGTTTAGAAATAGGGAAGCTGAGAATTTTTAAGATCTCAAGTTTTTATTTAGTTTTCAAAATGTGCACTTTTCAAGTATGCATAGGAAGACAGTTCAAAAGCTATAAATGATCATGTATTTACGCCCCATCATTTGATGCTACAGTCTCCTATGTACGAGGTATTATAGTTTTAGACAAGGATTCTATAGTCTTCCTCAAGAGAAAGCCTCTCTCCCCCTTGACAAAGTTCAGCTTTCTTAATAGGGCCATAGGCATATTATTTTGGTGAATTCTTTGATTGGTAATTTTAGATATGTCCTTTTAACAAAATGAGGATAATTTATAGATATGATTTGTAAAGGAAGTTCTGATTATTTTCATTAAGAACCAAGGTTGTGCACTCGGGCCATCTTAGCAGCCTGAACAGAGTCCAGATCAAACACAGAGTAGACATTCAATACATATTTCTTGCACAAACAGATATTTGCTGAATGGCTGTAAAAGACGGTTAGTTCAGCCCATTATGATGAAAGGGTCTTAGTGATTTGTAACTGAGTGCACCATAAAATTCAGGAGTTGCAGGCCTGATTTCTGGGCTGGTCTTCTGACAGTTTTTAGAGTATATTCTCTCTTCTCTTGGGATACACCCACATCGTTTATTCTGCCTGAGTTCAAATTCATTTTACTTATAATTTTCTTTAACAATGGGAAGTTATACCCTTGACTAGTAGGCAAAGGACTACGTGATTAGATTATGATAAAAAGTGATTTTGTAAAAGATGTTGAAAATAGCTGAAATTTAATACATTACATTCTTTTATAATGTGAATCTGTCAAAAATCATTCAATAAAAATTAAAAAAATCAATCAACTATAACTTACTGTGTTTATATATGTACAAGGTTTTAGCAAGTATGTAATTAACTGTTGTTTGTTTTAAAAAAGTGATTCTATTTAACTCTAAGCACATTTTGCTGGGTAGCATTTCATCTCTGGTGGCAGTGGAATATGGCTATTGTCTCGAAAGTGTTCATCAAATCTTTTCTGAGGAAATATCTATATGATCACTGTGAATAAAAATGCTTCACTAACTGTGTCACTAAAAGGTGAATTTTTCACATTTACACACACACAATCTTTATCTTAGATTCACGGAAAGTAAGTTCCGGGTTTCAGTCAGCTCAGAGTAATTCAGGACACTTAGCATCAATAGTGTGGTGCTTAAGGTTAAATTTTGAATACACATGATTTCCTTACAATCATTGCACAATATACTTTTCAAAAACATAAAATTTAGCTCATTTTATTGGCAGAGTTTTGATGCTCTGATTTCCTTCTCTTTTCCAAGAGAATCATGAATCTTGTAAGACCTATTTGGGACCACGACAATTGACTACCTTACTCAGAAGCTTTACTTCACTTCCTTTTCCTGTTAAGCTTATCAGATCCGAAGTAGAAAATTAATTTGAAATCACTTAGTTAGACAGATATACCCACAGGAATATATGCTGCCTACTGTGTGCAAATGACAATATCGACTTATTGCTTAGAGGGACTTACCAATAATTGAATTCAAGAACTATTTATAAAACAACTGAAACTTAAAATTGTGGGGTTTTTCTTTACCCAAATAATAAATTTACTTATGTTTTTTTCTGGCTCAAATCAGTAAGTCTGTCTCTTAAGAAGAGACTTAACATATTTTCCCTTTTTGATATGCTTCTTAGTTAAGTCCCAAATGTTTGTTTTGAAAAAGATTTAAATGTACACATGACCAAGATCAGTCTACTTTAACTCCATAATTTAAATTTCCCTCCAGAGCATTCCATTTCAAGGAGTTATCCAGTAATAAGAGAAATCTTTTTACCACTTCAATATTGTTTAGCTATTCAAATTAATTCAGGAATATAATTTATTGCTTTAAATGACTAGTCCAGTTTGCTCTATACTACACAAATTGTATTGTGTTTATCTTGCATTTTATTCCAATGTTGACAATTTCAGTTACTCATAATTCTTTGGCATTATGCTAGTAAATCAAGTGTTCACTCCCATCAAAAATGAACTGTGATCATTAATTAAGAATATTCAGACAAGACAACTGAAACAAGAACTGGGCATTACAAGGATGATGGTCCATAGCTATAAATAGCCTGGAAATAGCATTGTTCTTCTTTAATGTGGTTTTCTTATAACATATATTTTGGCTACTGATTTTAAAAAGTACCTGCCAAGCTTATAAATATTTTTATAAAAACTGATTTTTTTTCAAAACTGGAAGTGTTACCTGTCCAATTTTTAAAATCTCCAATTAACTAACACAAGAATCTTTTTAATGAACTTATTTTCCTAGCTCTTTCTTCAATGGCCAAGTCACACGGTTGGAGACACTCAGTAGACTTGGTCTAATGGGTGGTGAAATCATGTTCTTATCAGAGGGGTCAGTGTATAGGCAGATTCAAGATTCCTTATTGATTCACCATTCAACTAAGGAAAAAAATCACCCTCAGATGGTCTTCTTTTCTAAATAAAGTCTAGGAAGGAAATGCCCTGTCTACTCCTTTCTATATTTAATAACTGGCAATTCGATCCAGTTGGTGAAACTGTCTAGAGCGTGGTGGCCAAGAACTTGTGATCCTAACCTCAG